TTTTTCCCTTTTTTTTCCCCCTTTTTTTTCGGGCGAGGAGGGGGCGGCCGGGCCCAGGAGCCGGCGGCGCCTCTGCCGCGACCCGAGCGCCGCGGCCCCTTCACGCCGAGGAGGAGGAGGAGGAGGAGGAGGAGGAAGGGCTGGGGGGAACGGGCAGCCCCCCCGCTTCGCCGCGGGGCACCTTCCAGCCCGGAGCGGTCCCGGCACCTCCGCGCCGCGCGGAGACGGGTGAGATCCGCGGCCGCGCAGCCCTCACCCCCCGAAAAAAAAAATCAGAAAATAAGCCCGGAGTTTTTACTTTTTTTCCTCCTTTTTTTTTTTTTTAATTTATTTTTGTGGAGCCGGGCAGAGCGCTGCGCGCCCGCGCGTCCCCCCGCGCAGTTTGCGCGGGGCGCAGCCGGGCGGCGGCGCCCCCGGCCTCCCCCCGCGGTGCCTCCCATGGAAAGGGAAGGAAAAAACTTCCCCGCGCGCCGCGTTCGGGGCCGGGACCGGCCGCGGGTCCCCCCCGGCCCGCGCAGCAGCTCGGCCGGGTAACGAGGAAAGCGGCGCTTACGGTAAGAAAGATTCGGCTTTTATTGAAAATCTCATATGTGACTCGGTATCGTAATAAATAAACAGAGAAGAGCTCCACAAAAGGGACGCGGCGAGAGCGGGACACGCGTGGGGAAGGGGGGGGACGGGGGACACCACGAGGACGACACGGAGCCAAGCGGGGCGGGAGGGGGGAGGCTCGGGGGGGGACCCCGGGCCCGGCGACAATAAATAACGCGCGTGGGCGGCGCGGCCCGGGCGGGACCCGCGGCCCCTGCGCGCCCCGCGCTGCCCCGGCTATAAAACGTAGGGAGCTTATGAAGTATGAAGTATTACATATGGCAGGACTAGGTGAAACCCTTCCCCATGATTTTTTCCCCCCATTCCCCCTCCCCAAATTCTATTACGAAAAAAAAAAGGAAAGAAAAAAAAATTATTTCCAACCCAGCCCTCCCGCTAAAGGACCCAGAAAACTCTTTTTATTTTCCTTTTTTTTTTTTTTTTTTTTCCCCTTTTGCTTCTCCCGAGCTCGGCGAGGCCCGGGGCGATCCCAGCGCCGAGCCCGCAAGGGGACCCCGCTCCCACGAGCGCGGCCGAGCGGGCCCGCACCTGCCCCAAGGAAAGGGAGAGGGAAAAAGTTTTTTTTTTTTTTTTTTTTTTTTTCCAAAACATTTTTTTTTTTTCCGTCCAGTCTCATGCCAACGTTTTTGCGGGGCGCGGGCGCGCCGGTCACTGCAGGACGCATTTCTCTTCCTTCTTGGCCATCTTGCCTTTGTTTTGCTCCAGGGTCCGCTCCAAATGCTCGTCCTCTTCCTCGGCCCTGCAACAGAGGCGCCGATCAAGGGGTGCGCGCCCCGCTCCGCTCCGCAGCCCGCGCTCCCGCTTCCCCCGGGCCCGATCCCGGCCCCGCTGCCCCCGTCCCGGTGCCGGGCTCCGCGCGCACTTTGCGCGCCCTGCCCGCCGCACTCACTGCTTCTCCTGCGCGTCCAGGTCCCTGACCAGCGCGTCCCGTTTGTTCACGAGAAGAACGAGCTCGTCCAGCAAGAGCTGCTCGCGCCGCTTCTGCGCCTCGGTCTTTTGCCAGTCTGCGGAGGAGCGAGGAGCGCGGTGAGCGGCGCGGCGCCCCGCGCAAGGAGCCGCGCACCCACCGCGCTTCCCCCGGTTAATAATGCCCATTATTAGGGTGCGTGTCCCCCCCGCGGCGCGGCCGCCGGCCCGGCCGCCCCCAGGGGCCCGCGCTGTCACTCAGGCGGCGCCTTCCCCGCCTCCCTCATTAGGGAGGTAAACACCGGGGAGGCGAGGGAGCGCGGGGGGGCGCGGGGACCCCGGCCCGACCGGGAGCCTTCACAAAAAAAAAGAAAGGAAAAGAAGGGGAAAAGAAAGAGAAGCCGCGTCCGCCCCGTCCGCCCTGCGCGCCCGCCGGCTGAAAATGAGGCGCAGCCCCGCGCAGGGGGAGCCCGGCTGCCCCGCGCGCGCGGAGCCCGCAAGGAATCTGGACAAAAATTCGTTGTTATTTTTCTTTTTTYTCTCCCCCAAATGCACTTGCACCGGCTGTTTACACCCCAACCCCGGCGAGCGCCGCGGCTGCARCGCAGCCCCGCTCGGGTTCTCCCCGCGCCTCTTCGCTCTCCCCGCGCTCCCGCTTTTCCGTTTTCTTTTTTTTTTTCTCTCCCCCCTTTTGTTTTCTTTCTTCTTTTTTTTTTTCCTCTCTCTCTCTCTCTTTTTTTTTTCTTTTTTCTTTTTTTCTTTTTTTTTGCTCGTTTAGGGAAAAGCTCTTTCAGTTCGAGCCGCTTCAAAGGACGCGGCGCCGCGTTGCCGAAAGCAAGCGCGGGAGCTCCCCGCGAATCCTAACGGTTTCGTACATTAAAAATAAGAAAAAAAAGTAAATTAAAAAGAAAAATAAAAAGGAAGAAAGAGAAAAAGAAAAGAAAACTAAATAAGGGGAAGCGGCGGCCGCTCGGCGGGACGGAGGTGGGGAGCGTGCGCGGCCCCTGCCCGGACACCACCGGCCACGCTCTCATTCTGCAGCTTTGGGCATTTTCACTTAGTGAAAAACTCTTATTTAAATCCTTTCTTTTCTTTTCTTTTCTTTTCTTTTCTTTTCTTTTCTTTTCTTTTCTTTTCTTTTCTTTTCTTTTCTTTTCTTTTCTTTT